TGTAACTCCAAATCCTGCTTCCAATTATATTTGTATAAATATAGAAGTTTGCAGAGCTGCTCCTGATTTTCTACAAGGTATCTGAGCGTCCATTGAGCCTTCTGATGATATCTGCCAAAGTAGCATCACTTCTGGGCATGCAGCCCAAGGTAAGTGTCTTAAGTAGACTCTCTTTTCAGGGTATGGAAGTCCTGTGCCCTATTTTACAGTGGACAGCCTATGCAAAGAACTTACCAGTCACAGACCAGTTTAAAGATAAAGTGTTGGAAGTGCAGATACACAAGATCATTAAGTTTGTAATGTAAGGGTTAATTATATCATCAGTAAGTCATATAACCATGGGGGAGGTGTTGCTTAGCAACCTGGCAGAGTGGCATGATGTTTGCTGAGGCTACATCTGATTAGCTGTGGATTTCTTTTCTCTCTGGTCTCAGTCTACATTATATTAATGATTTTACTAACATAAAGAGCTCCAAGAAAGGAGATCAGAAGGGAGGAGTTTTGACGTTACCAATCAACTGTGAGCCCCTATACTGAGCAGGCACGCAGGTCACCTGAGAACTACTGTATGATTGCCAGAGTTCCCTGGGAACTTATCAAACCTCTCCAGGAACTGTAGCTCTGTAAAGGGAATAGAGCTGTCCTAACAACTATCAGCAACTATCATGCTTGACAAACTACAGCTCCCAGGATCTCATTCAATATTTTATTGAATCAAATATTTTGAATTGAATATATATTGAATTCAATATTTTATTGAATAAAATATTGGGGGAGGGCAGGTAAGCCTCACATAATAAATCCATCAACTTGAGGGGGGCAGCCCCTTCAAATATTTTGTTGGGGAGCCAAAGACCCCTCAACTCCTATAGCCGTCCTTATCTGGGGAAAGGTATGGCAGTTCCATTTCAAGAATAGCCGTTATTTCTAAATTTGCATTTATCTAGGGTTGCCATATGTCCGGGTTTTCCCTGGGCACACGCTCTTTTTCAGGCTTAAAGTTTGTGCCCGGGCGGAAATTTAAAATGTGGCAAAATGTCCAGGGTTTTTTGTTTGGCTGTGCGCAAGCCCCGCCCCTTGGTCCGCGAGCGCCAGCAGGAACTGCTCTTTGTCTGAGATTTCGTCGCCCCATCGTGGCTGGAGCTGAGCTCCTTCTTCTTCTGACTTTGGCCGGCGGCGGCAACATCGTGGGAGCGAAAAAAGGCGGGGAAAGAGGTGGTGGGGAGAGAGAGAATGGCAGGAAGAGACTGAGCGGAGCAGCCGCGCAGCCTTGCCTCAGACTGGGCTTAGCTGGGGCCGCCGCTGCTCTTCCTCATACTCCTCCTCCTCTGCGTGGGAGAAGATGGAGTGGCGGCAGAGCCTGGATTCCCCTCACACTATCGCCACATAGTGAGAGCCTCCGCCTCCTCCTAGGCCTGCCCATCCTGTCCCCAGGCGTGCCAACCTGTGTGTTTGTATGCATACGTGCGAGTGAGGGAGAGGGAAAGAGCAGGAGGGAGACCGAAAGACTGGCAGCAACTTCTCGGCACCCGACTGCAGCAGCACTTCTTGATTGAAGCCCCCCAGGACAAAATCGATAGTGCCTCTCTCTCACTCTCTCTCTCTCGGGCTCCCTCCCCTTCCTCCCCCAGTGTGCCCTCCTCCGCATCCCCCTCTCCCCCTCTCTTTTTCCATCCAACGATCCCTCCCCACACCACACAACCCCCTTTCTCTCCCCTTTTGGGGGGCGTCCTCCAGAAAATGAGGCTATCTTTGGCTCTGGGAGACCCCTCTTCTCCCCAAGTGCGACTTACTGATTTAATCTCCCTCCTCCCTCCTTTACCCCAATCTCTGCTGCGCTCCCTGACTTTTTCCCCAAACGAGTTTTCCTCCTGCTTCGATTTCTGATCGCTCCCCATTTGCTTGCTCTCCCTTTTTCTGTTGCTTCATTCCCTTGCCCCCATCCCAGCCTCTCGCCATTGTATACCTTTTTCAGTGCTTCCCTTGCCCCTACCGCCCCCCAGCACTCCCCTCTCCTCCTCCAGACCCTCTTCCTTTCCTTCTCTCTCTCTTCTCCTTCTGCTGGGATCCCTCTTCCATTCGCTCCCCTGACTCCCTCGTCCTGCCAAGGGCTTTCCCCTCCTCTCCCCTCCAAGTCCAGAGTTCTCCCCCTACACTACACTGCCCAGCCTCTGCCTAATGCTGAGTGAGAGCCTCATCCAGGGTCTGTCCATCTCTTGAAACCTCTCCCTGATCGTGCAATCTTCTGCTTGTTTTAGGGCCGTAGCTCAGTGGCAGAGCATCTGCTCTGGAATGCAGAAGGCTTCAGATTCAATCCTCGGCATGTCTAGGTGGACCTGGGTAAAAAGTCACTGCCTGAAACTCTGGAGAGCTGCTGCCAGTCAGTGTAGACCTGGAAGTAGGCAAATGCGTCTTCCTTTTTGCTCTTCAAAATATGGCAACCCAAAAGCATATGCCCAAATCCATGGAAATCTCTTTGATCCTCTTTTTGGATATTGTCTAAGTGCCAGCCGTGTGTGTGTGTGTGCATGTGCATCTTAACGAGGACCGTGCTGGCAACTTGTTGGATACAAAAAATTAAGGAGAAAACAAGGTTCAACGGAATGGAATGGAACATCCTGAAAGAGCATGGCTGGCTGACTTTCACACTGAAAAAGGAGAACCCTGCACTGCAACGTTTTGGTACAGCTCAGATAGATAGACAGACAGACACACAAAAATATTATAGTAGGTTCAGGTGGCATTGGCATGTAGGGACTGGACCTTTGGTGGGATCAGTATGGAGGGGAGATTTGAGAGGGAGAAACACTTCTCTGTTCTGGCTGGAAGTTTTATTCATGTGTTTTCTACCTGCTTTTATCTCTTTTTATAATTCTATACTATATTGTTACAACTTGCCTGGGACCTTATGGTAAAGGGCAGGTAAGAAATCTCAAATAAATATACTTTTCGGATAATGTATGAATAATACTTACTCATTCATTCATTTATCACATTTATATGCCATCTTTTATGCAAGGAGTTCAAGGTAGTGATCCCTCTCCTCAGTTAATGGTTCTCCCTCTCCCCAGTCAAAAAAGCCAATGCAATTCTGGGCTGCATCAATAGGAGTATAGCATCTAGATCAAGGGAAGTAATAGTGCCCCTGTATTCTGCTCTGGTCAGACCTCACCTGGAGTACTGTGTCCAGTTCTGGGCACCACAGTTCAAGAAGGACACTGACAAACTGGAACGTGTCCAGAGGAGGGCAACCAAAATGGTCAAAGGCCTGGAAACGATGCCTTATGAGGAACGGCTAAGGGAGCTGGGCATGTTTAGCCTGGAGAAGAGGAGGTTAAGGGGTGATATGATAGCCATGTTCAAATATATAAAAGGATGTCACATTGAGGAGGGAGAAAGGTTGTTTTCTGCTGCTCCAGAGAAGCGGACACGGAGCAATGGATCCAAACTACAAGAGAGAAGATTCCACCTAAACATTAGGAAGAACTTCCTGACAGTAAGAGCTGTTCGACAGTGGAATTTGCTGCCAAGGAGTGTGGTGGAGTCTCCTTCTTTGGAGGTCTTTAAGCAGAGGCTTGACAACCATATGTCAGGAGTGCTCTGATGCTGTCTCCTGCTTGGCAGGGGGTTGGACTCGATGGCCCTTGTGGTCTCTTCCAACTCTATGATTCTATGATTCTATGAGTTAATCCCCAGAACAACCCTGTGAGGTAGGTTAGGCAGTGGCTGGCCCAAGGTTACCCACTGAGCTTGATGGCCAAGTGGGGATTGGAACCCTGGTCTCCCAGATCCTTGTCTGACAGTTTAAGGACTGCACCACACTGGCTCAACAACAACAACAACAACAACAACAAAGAATAATAAATTATTTACTTCAAAATAAATTAATGATTTCTTTTTTATAAAATAAAAGTTTATAAAATAAAATACAATATATCTATTATTTATTGAAGGAAAAGAGGAAACTACCAGCTTACGCTTATTGATGGCACTCTTAAAAGCAGGATGAAATCTGATGATTTTAGGGGTTATCATTTTTAACTAGCAATTTTCTGTGAAACGAAAAGGATTACTGTGCTCCTTTGTTAATAATTTCAGTTGAAATTAAGGGAATGGGCACCTGAGACCAGAGCTTAAATTTATACCTAACAGAAGGCAACTGTCATGATTACGCTGGAGCTGAAATTTATACTTAACACAGGGCAACTGGAGTGAAGCTGGCAAATCATCACCTTCTTGACGGTAAATTGCAAGGAAGTATAAATATGCCCATCATAATTAAGTAGTTTTCAAAATTAATGATTCTCTTTGTTGTATTTGTTGCTTTTAAAAAGCATACTCTGTTTGCTGTAGGCAAGATTCCCCAACCTAATACTATCTAAATGTTGCTGGACTACAACTCCCAGGAGCCCCAGGCAGCAGGCCCTATGGTCTGAAACGATGGGAACTGGAGTCCAACAACACCTGAGAGGTCACCAAGTCTGGCTGGCCTAGGCAAATTCTCCTTTGCTGGCATTATAGCTGTGGTCAGAGTGTCACAAGACTTACCAGCAGAGACGGGGAACTTTTTTTCTGCCTGAGGCCTGCACTCCTTTCTGAACAACCTTCTGAGCAATGCTATTTTCCTAGAAAAAGAGATGCCAGAACTCACATGAACACCTCCCTTGTTTCCTTAGAATGGCAATGGTGCCCACCTGAGAGGTACTGGAACTAGGAGTGCCAGCTTGGTCCTATGACCATGGGTGCTCGGGGCTGTGGGTACCATGCAGCATGCATGGCTCTGGCATCAAAATTTGTGGGTGCCCAGACCCTTCATGGGGAGCTTTTGGGTGCTCGGGCACCCAGGCACCCCACGGAATTGATACCTATGGCCGGAACTGAGTTCCAATGAGTTCTGGCTGAGAAAAATGTTCTGCTTCTGAGAGCCATATTCTTCCTTGGCGGGATACTGAAATCCTCAAATGAAAGGAAAAACAGACAACCGAGAAAGAAGGCTCAAACAGATTTATTCAATTGACCAAGGCCTACCCTTTTGAAAGCAAAGTAGGCAAGGTACAACCTTTTGCACAATTCTTTTATACAATTTCAGCAAATTCCAAGTCCCATCAAAGAGCTACCCAACCGATATCCCAAAGTCTAGTTATTCTATTTATTTATTTTCTAACCCCACCGCCATCCCTCCAACAACATAGAACCATAAATGTGTGCATCCCTCAAGCTTTTTGCCCCACCTATATACATACATAGGCCTTTCTGATTCCCACTATTGTTGAGGGATAATTCTGGTTCTGGGTTAGGGTTTCTAGTCTTCCTCCCCTCCCCTCCCTGCCTCTTATACAGCACCACAAGGCTTGAAATTAGTCTTGGCCTTGTGCCATAGCTGTGTCTACCAAACCATTTAAAATTATTGCTGTCCATTCCCCCAGGGCCAATAGGAAGTTCAGCTGTGATTCCAGCAACAAGCTAAAAAATAAATGATCACACACAAAAAAAAAAGAGGGGGGAAATGTTGTGAGGGTGAAAGAGGCTGGAGTGGTTAAGGGGGAAAGGGCCTGTTTGCTGTACTTTGATTTCTCTGCATTGCAAAAGTAAAGCAAGCAAGCTAAGGATTTGGTGGACATCTAAAAGGAGATGAAACAAATATTGTCAGAGATGAGCTATCAGTGCCAAAATGTGAGAGCCAAGTCCAAGTCAGGCAACCAGACGAGGTGCTGGATTTGGTGCCAGGAAAGATCTGGAGTCATTGCTCAGACAAAGCCCAAGGCTGACTAAGAAGCCTCATTAGTCAGTCCTGGTGATGAAAGCCATTGACCATCCTCAATATCACTCTTCATTCCATGAGAGTGTGGCCTTTCAGATGTTTTTGGCTCCTATCTCTGACCGTTTGCCATGCTGCGTGGAGCTGATGGAGTACAATACCATCTGAAGGACCACAGGTTCTCCATCTCCGGTCTAAAGCCTTGCAGCAATTACAATACAGAGGGAAGGCTGAACCTATGAACTTCATAGCTCATACTCTGAGCCATTCTACTATATCTCATTAAAGATGATAAGCAGGAACCAACATTTTTGCAAACCCTGGGCCAGGAATGGGGAACTCCAGTCATCCTTGACCATGCTGATGGGACTTGAGGCAAGGTATTCTCCATCCTTGCTTTACTGCTTAGTATAGGGGGAATGTTTTTCAGCATCAGGGCCACATTCCTTTTGGGGCAATCTTCTGGGGGCCACGTGCCAATGGTGGGTGGAATCAGAGGCAAAAGTGGGCAGAGAAAGCTATGTGAACCTTTGTATAGTGAGCTAGTTTCTACACACACACACACACACACACACACACCCCTCTCTGTACATGCATGTCTGTCCTGTATGTTGCTGCAGTGTGCCTGGAAGAGTATAGAATGGCCCCAACTACAGTGCCCATTGCCACTGCTGGCCTGTGTCCCTCAAGAGGGTCGTCCAAGGAAAAACATGGTCCTCAGGCTGAAGGAGGCCCCCAACCTCTAGTTTAGGAAATGTTCTAGCCTGTATCTTTGTTGAGACACAGCATGAGGCAACACCTGTCTGATGCTTGAACCTGAAAAGCTGATGCCTTCATCAGATTCCTTTGTAGCCAAAGGAGAAACCCTGTTTCTCTAAAATAATGCCATTAAGACATATTACAGCCCCAATGCAGGGACCCAATGCAATTCATTTACTTTTTAATAATAAAAACATAATAAAAAACATACATCTTGCTGGTGGGGTGGGGGAGTTATCAATATATATTGTTTGCTGAGTGTGGTGGTTGATTCATATCAATTGTTACCCAGTTTGTGCATCATGTTCCTCAGTTTCAGGATAATTTGATGTGATGCCTCTCAACACAAAACATTTGCTCTCCATTCAATGTCCTCATCACCAGCTCCTGTGCACAATGAAATGGTTGATTTAATAAAGGACGTCCTATGTTTATTTATGCATTTCTCTGCAGTTTAATTCTGGGGTGATAATTACCCTCCTTGCCCGAGTCTTCCTTTCTCTGCTGAATTAAAAAGGTTACCCACATATAAACACATCCTCAAGAGAACACAAGGACATTTCTCAGAAACCCTACAGATTAAGGCACCACAAAAACCCTCAGATTAGCCTTAACCTTTTGCATCTTTTCTATTTTCACATCAACACCTATGTCACACTGCCCCATTTAAAGGAAGGTCCCTCTCAACCTGAAAGGGAATAATTGTCCTGTGGAAACTAAGGTGGCAATGACCCCCATAAATATTCGTTGTTTTGTTTGTGAATCAAAATCTTGTAGTAGTTCTTGTTTTTCCTCCTCCCACACCCTCCAGCTTCCTCTAACTTTAGATGCAATCCCTACAGCCCAGTGGTTCTCACTGGCAGTTAACCGTGCCATTCACTGTCTTGCCTTAAGAGGAAGGAAAACAGCTGTTAACGGGAGAAATTGCAGCTAATTCCCACCTACCTGCCCGCTTCACCCACTTCCAGTGCTGCCTTGTGTTTTGATAGCATATTATATTTCCTAGTTCTCTTCATTTCCCCCTTTCTTCGAATAAACTTGCTGTCGTCCAGGCCCATGGAAAATGTTCATTGCACACCATCCTATTCCAGCTAGCTGAGATGTACAGGCAGAAGAAATGAAATTTGAAATACATCTCTTCAAGAGAGTTGGCATGCATGCAAAATGCAAGGGGGGGTAGATAAAGATCATCATTAATATTCCCGCACATCCATCTTAAGCAAACGACACAGGAGGCTACAATCCACTTTTGAATGATATTCCAGCGGATCACTATAGAAGGCTGGAATTTTTAGCGGCTGCAGGTTCCTGGGATAGGAGTGGCCTCTTCCTCTTGATTTCCATAGAGGTTAATGGTGACTTGGCTTTCAGGTTCCAATATTTGATCCTTTCTTCATTTGGCTGACAACAGCAATATGGACTTTAATGGTCAGCCCATGGATGAGATACAGCCCTATAAATTCGGTCTGCTGTCTGCAGAGGAGGTGCTTTTTACATAAAGCTATTCTGAGACGACAGAGATCCAGTAAACTGAGCTCAGCTACATTACTGGAGATATATCTACACATTTTTATTACTGGAAATGGCATTAGGCTGAGCAACCTGACAATTCCTGCTGCCCCTACCCATATAGAGTGATTGGGGAAATGAACTCATATCCGCATGAATCCAGCTTCTTGCTGGGCCAAATGAGGCAAGATGCAGAAGATGCAATCACAGATCCTCTGTCATCTTTCTTCAAAGCAGCCACAGGGACTGAATTGGTTTGAGGCTAAATTGGATTGGACTGTGGTGGTGGTGGTGTGGCAGTGGGAATCCCTTCCACAATGCAATTTCCCTGAATGAAATCTGCCTCTGCTCCAAAGGCACTAATGGTCACAAAAAAGACCCACTTGGGAGTTGCAGGTGGGGAGAAAGCATGCTGTTGTGGGCTTCCCACTAGGGCATCTGGTTGGTCACTGTGAGAACAGGATGCTCATGGACTAGAATGGCCATTAGCCTGATCCACCAGGCTCTTCTTATGTTTTTAAGACAGGAATAATATGCATAGTGGCTTTAGGGCATGTGTAGTTTAGTTCTGTGAAATAGTGCAGAGGACATGGTTAAACGGCCTGATCTTGTGGCATCTTTAAGGCAGGTGTGAGGAATCTTTGTCCCCTGGGATGCTACTGTACTGCAACTAATGCTCAATGGCAAGACATAATGAGAGATGTAGTCCAAAACCACCTGGAGGTCCACATCTGCTTTACAGCTTTGAAAAAAGTGTTGGGAGACCCAGTCTCCCATTGACTTTCATGTTGTGCCCAGTTGTCTCAGATTCTTACATTACGTTCTCCCCCTGCCCCACCGAAAAAAAAGAAAAGAAAAAGCTTTTTCATGTCTAGAATCCAAGTACCATCAAATTTTGCTAATGGGAACCAATGGGTTACTAGAGGGGTGGACTCTCCTTCACTGGAGGTCTTAAAGCAGAGGCTGGATAGAAAGCCATCTCTTGGGGGTGCTCTAGCTCTGGATTTCCTGCACTGGGCTAGATGGCCTTACAAGACCCACTCCAAGTCTGATTCCATGTATCTAAGGCAGAGTCACAGCAAATGCTCAATAGACTGTTCTTGAATGAAAGATGTAGTCATTTTCTCACCAAGAGATGGCAAAAGATACCCCTGGCCCACTCACTACAGTCTGAAGCTTCAGGCACAAATCTGAGTCCAGGAGCACCTTAAACTCACAAGACTTGTGGGAAGAGGGGGGCAGAGGGAGAGAAGATGGAACTTCTACAGATGCATGTGTCATAGTTGTGTGAGATACAGTGGCACGAGCTTGGGGAAAGGACAACTCTTCTGACTCATCGGCTGAACACATTGTCCTGCACATATTTAAAGCAATGTGCCATTAAAAATTAATGATCTAGTTGGGGTGGGAGGGAATCTAGGAGATGCAGCCATGTTAATGCATGGAGAGAAAGAGAGAGAAACCTCAATGACCACAGCACTGGTCCTTTTTTGAGGTGATGTCACGGTTTCTTAAGAGAATATCATTGGAATGATGTGGCGATAAGAGTAGACACCGTTCCAGTACCCCAGATCATTCTTGGAAATGTCTCTGCCTTGAGGAGGTGAGCAACAGCCCCCCCCCTTTTCTGGGGGCCACATTCCCTTGGGAGTAATCTCTCAGGGACTGGAGCTGAAATCAAAAGTGGGTGGAACCAACTGCTACTTTTCTGTATTTCTTTACCCCATATCCCTTCTCCTTGCTACTCATATGAAATTAGGTAAAAGAGAGTATGGAGAGAGATAGGGCCACACATTGCCCATATGAACATAAGAAGAGCCTGCTGTATCAGGACAATGGCCCATCTACTCCAGCGTCCTGTTCTCACAGTGGCCAACCAGATGCCTGTGGAAGACCTGCAAGCAGAATTCAAACCCTCTCTCCTTTCCTGTGGTCTCTAGCAACTGGCGTTCAAAAGCATTACAGCCTCCAACTGTGGCAGCAGAGCAGAGGCCTCATGGCTAGTACCCATTGATCGCCTTATCCTCTATGAAGTTGGCTAGTCCTCTTTTAATGCCATCCAGGTAGGTGGACATCACTACCTCCTGTGGGAGCGAGCTTAGCTATGTGCTGTGTGAAGAAATATTTTCTTTTATCACCATTACCCTCCAAGCAGCAGCAGAAAGGGAAGAAAAAGAGATAAAAGAGGAAGACTCTCCACTGCTAGGAAACAGTGAGCAACACAATCCATTCTCTCTCTCACACACACGCAAATGCAAGATACACACAAGCATAGAGGTCACTTTGCAAATTTGTGGGGCCATTTGATTTCAGCTCTAAAAATAAACATAAAATGGATGGTATTCATGATTTCAGCTTCCATCACCACCTCTAAAAGCTGAAATGAAAAGAAAGAGAAAAGAGGAAGACTCTCCACTGCTCCTAAATGAGCATCCCCATTTATTCTCCCCATGCAGAGAGAGAGAAAAAAACCAATCAAGACACAGAGAAGGAGTTCAATAACTGAAAACAGGGTGGCAGACTTGAGGGGCTGTTTGGTCTCAGCCCTAAAAAATAAAATTCTAATTGAATAAATTCATAATATTGGTCTCTGGCACCACATCTCATGCTCTAGCCTTTTGGGAATTGTCATCTGTGAGCAAGTTTGAGGAGCAAGAAAGGGTTTCACAATCCAAGTCTTCCTGGTTCTTTGCCAGGCTGCAACACACAGCTTCTCCAAATGCCGAAAGACAACTCTAAATGCTGAGAACGTCTCTTGGAGGACTGGCTTGGAAAGGCCTTCTTTCTCCAATCTCCTCCCATACTTGTAGCCTTCAAGTCAAAGGAAAATAAAATTTTAAAATATCCTGCCAAACCTATGGTGCTTTTTGTTTTAGTTGTTTTAAATATTATTATTTTAGAGTAGAATTCTCCTATCTGGTTCCAGGTATTAACACATAGGCTGCACCAGATCAGACAAATGCCAACAGTAGCACTAATCAAAACACTGGGATGATGGAATTGAAGCAACACCCACCAGCTGGATGAACATTATAGTAGGGCTTGCCCTGGTAACATCCCAGCTGAGATACTGTAATACACTCTATGTGGAATTATCATTGAAGAAGAAGAGAAGAGTTTGGATTTGATATCCTGCTTTCTCACTACCCTAAGGAGTCTCAAAGCGGCTAACAATCTCCTTTCCCTTCCTCCCCCACAACAAACACTCTGTGAGGTGAGTGGGGCTGAGAGACTTCAAAGAAGTGTGACTAGCCCAAGGTCACCCAGCAGATGCATGTGGAGGAGCGGAGACGTGAACCCGGTTCCCCAGATTACGAGACTACAGCTCTTAACCACTACACCACACTGAGGGTTGTTTAGGAACTGCAATTTCTGGCATCAGTTGCCATGAGCACATAGCACCCACTGGCTGCTCATTTGTTTCTAGATTAAATTCAAATGGATTCAAATCTCCAGGACCTGATGACTTGCACCCAAAGGAGCTTGTGGATGTAATCTCAGAGCCTTTGTCTATAATCTCTGAGAATTATTGGAAAACAGGTGAGGTCCCTGCAAACTGGAGGAGGGCAAAAGGGGGGGAGAGAGAAGAACCAAATAACAACTGACCAGTGAGCCTGACATCAATAGCAGGCAAGGTCCTAGAACAGATAATTCAACAGTTGGTCTGTGAGCATTTAGAAAAGGATGATGTGATTACTAAGACCCAACATGGGTTTCTCAAAAATAAGTCATGCCAGACAAATCTCATTTCTTTTTTTTAATGGAATTACAAACTTGGTGGATCAGAGGAATGCTGTGGACATAGTGTATCTTGATTTCAGTAAGGTTTTTGACAAAGTCCTCCATTATATTCTTGTGAGGAAGCTAGTAAAATGTGGGTTGAATGAGGTAAGTGTTAGGTGGATTTGGTTGACCGAACCCAAAGAGTACTCATTAATGGCTCCTAGTCATCCTGGAAAAAAGTTACAAGTGGGTGCCACAGGGTTCTGTCATGTTGTGACTTCCAAATTCTTCTCAGACACGGATTTTAATTTGAGATGATAAAAGAAACTCCTTTGCCTCTTCCTCTCCCACCCTCCTCTGGTGAGCCTTCAAACCCTCCTCACTTCTGCTTAGCTGTCTGTTGCTCTGGTAGCAGCAGCAGTGAGTGGAAGAGAGGAGGCCTGGAAGTTTATAGGTAAGTGGGGAGGCAGGGAAAGGGTTTGTAGGCTCATGGAAGGAAGGGATTTTGGCAGCTTGGGAATGGCGGGGACTTTCTAGTGATAAGAGGGCTAAGGAAGGAGTCACTGGAAAGTGACTTTAATCCAACTGTTTAGCATAAAGATCTTCTCCTGTTTTTACTGTTGGCAGGATGGTCCAAGACTAGCTTTATTAAATCTGTGATAATCTATGGTTTAAAGAGCTACTAATCTTTTTCATATCTGTGGCTAGAAATATAATAATACAATATTGGAAAACAGCTACCAACTTAACTCTAGAGGTATGATCAGATAGAATATGGAATGCAAAGACCAAAGACAGTTTTGATACTGTATGGTGCATGTTTATTTAGTATAGAGGAAAAGACAATGTTGCCCTCTTACCACCAGCTACCCATGACTCACTCTGGGACCATCATGTTAAGTCATGTTGTAGAATACACCTAACTGATGTAATCAATTCTAAACCATTTACAAACTTAGGGCTTGTCCATACTTACCTTTTGTCCCACTCTTTTTTGCCACAGGTCTGTGCTTAAAAGCTCTGAGTCCAAGCTATGGTCTTTTTGCCCAGGAGCTTTCCCTTCAAAAACCTGCTCTTTAAAAAATAGGATTCCAGGTGGAAAAATCGAAACTTGAGACAGAGTTGTTAGAACCAAAGACCAAGGTATTATCGAGAATGTACAACTTGCTGCTTAAATGGAATACACAGGATGAGACAGTTAAATCAGCCATGATAAAGTGGGCTCAAGACATTGGTTACAATATCATGTTTGAAGACTGGGAAAGGTTATGGACCACCGGTATGAAATTTACGGCATGTAATGCCTTGAAAGAAAACATTATGAAAATGATATACAGGTGGTACATGACCCCAGTCAAGCTTGCTAAGATATACCATTTGTCTGATAACAAATGTTGGAAGTGTAAGGAGGCTGAAGGAACATTCTTTCACCTTTGGTGGACTTGCCCAAGAGTGAAGGCCTTCTGGGAAATGATCTACAACGAGTTAAAAAAGGTGTTTAAGTACACCTTCCCTAAAAAACGTTTTTTATGTATGCTACCACAGCAGCAAGAATTTTGATCGCCAAACATTGGAAGACCCAAGATTTACCCACGCTGGAAGAGTGGCAAACGCAACTGATTGACTATATGGAGTTGGCCGAAATGACTGCCAGAATCCGAGACCTGGGAGAAGAAGCAATGGAGGAGGACTGGAAAAAATTTAAGAACTATTTACAAAAATTTTATAAGTTATATGAACTATAAAATGACGCACAATCTGAAATGCTAGCCCCAGCAACGAGAGTGCAATATTTATGAAATTGGATAATATTATTGAAAGAATCAAAGTTTAAATGTTAAGAATGATAATATGTCTTGTTTTTAGGGTAAATGGACAATAAGGGATTTAAACTTAAATTGCAACTGAAAGTACCAAAGAAACACATGAAACAAGGTTACAATTTGCTGATAAATTTATTATTAAGAATGCATTGTGCGGGAGATGTGGGGAAGTTTGATGGAAAGTTGGAATAAGCTGTTGAAGGGGTATGATTTTTCTTTTTTCTTTTACATTTTTCGTTTATTTTTTCTTCTACTGTTTTCTGTCTGTGTCTGAAAAAATGCAATAAAAAAATTATTATAAAAAAAAAAAACCTGCTCTTTAGCACTCAGTAGGAGCAAACATCAGTTCAGGTTTCCCACAGATTGCTGTTTGCTTTGTTTGAGCTTTAAAGAGAGGGGCTTTTTTGCGGGGAAAGCTCCAGAGCAAAAACAAGGATGGTCAAACATGGAGCTTTAAAGTACAGACCATGCATGGAATGAGCAAAGGAAGTGAGGATAAGCCCTCTATGTTTGATTGCATTATTTATGTTGTGTATACATGAAATGTTCCTCCGGGAATGGCAGCATATGGGTATTCTTTGTTATATTAAGAAACTGAAAAATAAAGTTAAGAAGGAAAAACAAACAAACAATGGAAGTTGTGTACAATGCTACCTAAAGAGGCATGAGTCAATAATTTCTGGGATATAGTCCTGACTGAATGTCTAACACAACACAGACAAGTGGTGGGAGGTGAAGCAAAAAAGATTGTTTCAAAGAAGTGTGATTTTTATCTTATTTTTACTGTATTAATAAGGGCTCTGAATTTTCAGGCCCACACAGTACCCATGCCTCACTTTGGAGGGGCTATACTAACAGTTGACACACAGAGTTGGTAACTTACTTTCTGAGACAATCCACTGCTTTGATCTCTTCTGTCTCTGTACTAGGTATTATATCATCCATGTTTATAACTGGATTCTCTTACGTATGTCTACTCAAAGGTGTTCTATTTTGTTTTCTTGAAATCAATAAAGCAGGCAACAATTAACCTATCAGTTGTTAAGGGCTGTGCATATCACATATTGACACAAGAGACTTGAACCTGGCTTGGTAGCATACAAGCTGCCATTGCAGATGTTTTGCCAGAGGCACTATATGCCCTCAGTCATCTGCCCTCATCAGCAGTCTAGCTGCTGCATTATGCACTAGCTGGAGGATCTGGACCAGGCCCAAGGGCAGCCCAAAAGAGAGTGCATTGCAGTAAACCAGCATAAGAGATGTGTGCATTTCCCTGCCTTCACTCTGAAGTGGTACATCTCAGAAGCCGTTTTACCAGCTCAGTGAAACCAGGCCCACAATCTCTTGCCTTCCAACATTCTCCATCTGGAGAGTGGGAAGGGGAAAGAGAGAGAGACAGCACTTGATACCTCACAGGGGTATTGTGAGGACACCATTAAAGTCTGTGAGGCCCTCCTTTTACATGGAAGGGAAAACATAGGATGGGGGTAGGGTCACGCAAGTCCTTGGGATTGATGGATTGACCTTCTGACTGCAGGGGCTTGTCCAGGCCCAGCATGTCACATCAGTGTTTCTCTGGAGAAGGCCAGAATTAGCAGACCTCTTCTTCCTCCCCCGCCCTCTCCAAGGCCTCCTGAGGGGCTGAGTTTGCTGCTCCAGCAACGCTTCCAGACAGCGTCGGCTCAGGGCATCGGAGCGTCATTTTGCATCCCACAGACAGATTGCCAGAGCACTGGAGCTCTTGGAAGTGCCTAACTTTGATGTATGGCTGCTAGTTCTTGTAGGAAGTGTCTTAAAAACCTCTCATTTATCAGGGTTGTTTTCACGGTGCGCATGGCTGAAGATGAGAAGCAAGCAGATTTATTCGGGGAGGAAGCCAGCTAATCCTATTTAAGCAGTTAAGGAGGAGAGGGGCTCGTTCCCTCAAGTTCAGTGGAGAACTGAGATGAGCTTCACCAACACACACACACACACCACACGTGGGACACTTCCCAGACACTTCCTTGGCAGGTCTGTCGGAAGCAGATGCATCTGCTGCTAGCAATTGCTTAGAGGCTTCGCTGGAAGCACTGTCCCACTCTGTAAGGACAACAGAAGGTGACCCGCAGCTGAATACGGCTGCTCTACAATTCTTTGCAAAATCTCTGGACACTGTTTAAGAGGGCAGAATACTGGCTATGTCCAGGAAATTCCAAACATATGGCAACCCAGTGCTAAAAGCAAACTCAGAAGAGGAGGGCCGATTCACACATGTGTGTACATCACTTGGTCTTTTGTCACTCAGTCTTACAGTGGATTTTCTGGGCTCTGGCCAGTGGAATGTGTGTGGCAGGACACCTCATCCCCCTCATCCCCCTGCCACAGTCACCATCTTGTATTGTATAGTGATTTTGGTCCTTCTTTATGCGAAACACTGCTGGGCCACTGTTTGGCCATACTTTCAAGTACCATTACGTACAGAATTTCCATTCTAATTTTCACCCAGGCTGCTTACAATAAAGTAGTGAAAACCCATAAATAACTGTATTTAAAAGCTTTTCAAAGTAGCTTGTCAGCAGGATGTGTTGAAGAAGACAGGCAGGCACCCAGTAGGCCAGTGATGGCAGAATCATTTTCAACCAAAGGGCCACATTGCTAGTGCAAAACTCCAGCTATGTCGACCAAATAGCCTCTGCTCACTCCATCATTGCTGCCGTCTGTGGTTTGGACTGGCAGTGGTAAGTAGAAGACCAGCACAGGCTGCCTCTCTGTTGCTACTGCCAAGTAGATTTCAATTAGGATTAATGTAGCTCACAACCGGATGAAAGGAGGAGGAAGAACAGGTTCCCCATTACTTAGATTTTGGTTGAATCATGAATGTTAAATTCTGATAATGAATAATATCGCTTTTTATGAGGTAGTCCAGGAAGGGGTTGTTCTATCTTAGCTTCATTTTATGAGGCTTCGATTTCTTTTGTCAGCTACTGAAACAGCCCTAATTCAAATGAGCGTATTGCTGGTTGTGTTTTATCAACTCTGAGAGTGCAAGCCATTATTTTTAGGGTAATATAACTCAGGCATGCAGCTCCGTTCCATTTTTACCTTATGCGTCCATGGTTGCTGCAATCCAGGAGTGGGGGGATCTCAGGCCCAGGGGCCTAATGAGGCCCCTTTGTTTGGCCCTTGGGGCACGAGTCAGGCCACACACCCCTGTAGTGCTTTTGCTGGGCTGAAATTAACCATGGAACTGGGTTGATGCGTCTTGCTTCTGCAGCTGAAAAGATAGGAATCCCACGGTGTTTTTATAGCTGAAATGCAGTCTACCATTTAAATGTACTGTAACCATAACATCATTGCTCCGCCCACATTTGCAATTGGCCCTCACATGTGATCTCCTGACAGGTTACTCATAAGGAAATGTGGCCCTCGGAATGAAAAACATCCCCCCACCCCTGCTAATCCAGTCAACAGAATGACACAGGAATAAGGTAATGATATCACCAGCAAAACCATATCCTTACCTTGGCCGCCTCTCTGAGCCAGCTTTGACAGGTGGTCAGGGACATTGGGGACCCCACTGGTCCTTTTAATCTGTACCATCTGAAAAAAGGAAGAAGCAATTGTTATGATCCACTCTCTGTTCTGTTAGAATACTTTCCCTTGAAATATGTATATTCTACACAACCCAAAATAAGGGACACAGGTGGCGCTGTGGGTTAAACCACAGGACTTGCTGATCAGAAGGTCGGCGGTTCGAATCCCTGCAACGGGGTGAGCTCCCGTTACTTGGTCCCTGCTCCCGCCAACCTAGCAGTTCAAAAGCACGTCAAAGTGCAAGTAGATACATAGGTACTGCTCTGGCAGGAAGGTAAACGGTGTTTCTGTGCGCTGCTCTGGTTTTCCAGAAGCGGCTTAGTCACACTGGCCACATGACCTGGAAACTGTACGCCGGCTCCCTCGGCCAATAAAGCCAGATGAGCACCGCAACCCTAGAGTCATCCGCGACTGGACCTAATGGTCAGGGGTCCCTTTACCTTTACATCCTAAAATGTGCTTTTGAACATGTGATATTAATTAATATCCTTTTAAAGTAGATTATGACTTATACGCACATGGGCTAATGAGAGAGTTTTATACAATATACCATTCATAGGAGCATGGGGAGCTTATGCAGACCACTGGCCCCATTTGCTCAGTATTGTCTGCACTGACAGGCAGCAGTTCTCCAGGAATTCAGACCAAGGTCTCTATCAGCCCTACCTGGAGATACCAGGGATTGAACCCTGGACCTTTTGCATGCAAAGCCTGAACAAGGCCACTGAACCACTGAACAAGGCCCCTGCCCAAGGGAAGTTTGGTTCTGTAATTAAAAATCTATTTTAAAATTGTTGTCCTACTTCCCAGAAAAAGGTCCAGCAAGGTCTGAAATATATTGGAATTATGAATATCTTTTTGGCCTACCCTACTGCTTTTTGCTCCTACTTCCAGTCCCTTACTGGAGTTCCCATGGGGGTGGGTGGCATTCTTTGCTTTCCTGTCTTGGTCAGAGTCAAGATCTAAGCTATTGCTCATGGTGGTGCCTGCAGGAGACGAGTTGCTTCCTTGCAGCAGCAACTGAAACTGCCTTTCCCCATTTTCTGTTGCCCTCTTTAGCCCCAGAGATTCTTAACACAGTCAAAACAAATCTACTATTGACTGGTCTCCCTCAACGCAGAATTCCTGTGTGTGTGCTTTTCTTCCCCCACTCCCTTCAGTGGGATATCTCTTTATCCTTCAAATAATGTTTGTGACCTCGTAGTCACGGCAGCTTCTAAGCACTCTTTGAACCCAGTATTGATCCTGCAATTAAAACACATTGCAGCTGCTTCAGGTAGCTAGCCAGACTGAGATCTCTGCTTTGGAGTCTGCTTTCTTAAAACCTTCATTTCTTCTTCTGTTAAATTGATTTTTTTTTAAAAAAAAATAAAAATCCTTTAATGATATGTGCAAGAGCGGGGAGAGTAAAGCCCAGTCTTGATTACTAGTACAGTTTGCGAAGTGGTTTTGTTTCTCAGGATGTTTAGCTCATTGTCTCCAACTTGTACAGAAACCAGATTTGCCTAGAATTTCTAATTGTATCTACACCTTCCATTCTAATCAGCCACCCCTGTCTTGTGTTAATTGCTGAACTGATATGGTCTCTCCTGTGGGTCAAAGGAAGGGCAGTATGAACTCGTGTATGGAAGATATAGTTCCAGGCAGAGAAATGGTAGCTTGTGCCCATTAGGACCAGTAGGGCAGAAGGAAGGGAGACCAATCAGTAGGTGGAGCCAGAGCCAATGACAGGAAAAGCCAACTGTCAGGAATCGTTTCACACCAACTCATTCTTGTTTTCTCCTCATCTTTCTGCCAGAAGAGTTCTACAAAAGCAACATTGAGTCTAAGGAGGGGGAAGCTGACAGTGCTATTCTCTGGACTGGTTCTAAGTAAGAAAGCAGACAGGTAGAGGCTGGCTGAAGGCTGACCAGGGTTGGTGGTGCCATTCCTCATTCACTTTAATGGACCAGTCATCACTGAGCAAGGCAGGCTAATTGAATCTACCGGTAGATCTTCAGGTTATGTAAAGTAGACTCTCAACAGTTCATCCAAAGCGACAACAGAAGACTCCTTCTCCTTAGGTTGCAATCCTAACTCTACTTATCTAGGAGTAAGCTCCATTGACATCAGTAGGATGTTCTTCTGAGTAGATGTGCCTAGAAATGTGTTGTTCATTAGGTTGCTGAAAATGAAGACAGTCTGCTAGGGTTGAAGGAGACAAGGAGTGTCTGTGAAATAGCTGTGTACACGTTTAGCAGCTTGGAAGGCAGTGAGGTCATTTCATGTCACTTCAAGTCCCATTCTTATGTCTTATGATCACAAGGAAGCACATATGTCTTCACCCAATGCCCAACTTGAACTCCCCCTGTGCTGTTCAGTTCACTGAAGCTACCACTTGCACACCTGCTGTCATCTGAGCAGGCACACCTGATGCCTGACATGTATGCACTTCAGCTTCCATTTCCATTTTCAAATTGGATGGAAGCTGGTTTGGTGGAAAACACATTAAACAGGAGTATTTCTCAGGAAGTCACAGGGTGCCTAGGGATTGTGACTATTATCACATGTACTCGGTTTCAAACACTAGCAGTGGGTACACACACACTGGAGCTGGAGCAAGCAGTAATATGTACACAGCCAAAGAAATCAGTTCTTGTCCTCAAAACAGATTCCTGGGCAGGGCATGTGCTCAGAGGCACCTTGGTTGACTCCAAGTGTGCAGAAGCCCCACCCCCGTTTTGCATCTGGCTCTATATGGTGTATCATGAGATTCTTGCGGGGAGATATTAATTGATCAAAGTCTCATTCAGCTATGGAATGAAGTTATATTTGTATCTGCATATGTACATTAATGTGCATCTAATAACATTTATCCCCTTTTGGTCTCTTAGGACTATTTTAAGGATAGGAGTGAATTAGAGTACAAGAGAAATTTGTTTAGTCAATATTTTTAAGCAAATTCCTGTACTGGAATTGGAATATAATGACTCTTCAGATTTAACACTTCTCCAAATTTTGCAATACTTCCTGGTATAAAAATGCAGAAATGTGTTAAAATGCATATTTTAAGATGCAATATGAAAATATATTTAGGAATGTGTGCATTGGAATAAAATAGGGTTTAAATATGGATTTTGTGCTATTATTTAAATATGATTTTTTATACTTTTAATTTTAAAAAAATCCACAGATTAATGTGTAGATAGGACAGAATGAACAGAAGGATTAACATGCAAAACAGAGAGGGACTAAATATAAGAGAGATCTATCCATCCCTAGATTATTTATTATTGGTTTATAACCATTTTTATTCATAGTAGACTTATTGAAATTAATGGCCTTAAGTGACTCATTTCCACTAATGGGTTTGCTCTCAGTATGACTAATATTGGATACATCCCATTGTTTGTGATTCTGATTCATTTCAAATGATGATTTATTCTGAATGTGATGATCTTGCATCAGTTTTCAAAATACTGAATAAATAAATAAACACAGTCCCAACATAAGTGTGGCTGCATACACACCAACCGATCTGCAGCACCGAAATATATTCCCCCTATATATATATATATATGGAAATATTATGTGTTTGGCATACTGCACCACAAAATTCAGAGAAGTGTGAATTTTGAAGGATAGGTGTTTCAGTCCATGTATTGTTTCAGGAAGTATGAATTAGGGAGTTTTGCACTAAAATAAAAACAAAACTTAATTTCTTTCTCATCTCTAGGTGATCCCAAAGGGGAAGTATCAATGCAAAGAATGAGGTGAGCCCATTGACACCCCCCCAACTCAAAGCTTGTGTTGATCATGCTCCTTCATTCTCCTCTGTGTGACCAAATTTCTTTTCTCTCCTCCTAAGCCCACATGGCCTCTATTTTCCCCGCTGCTGATCTGCTTCAAGCCTACTCAAGGTCAGCAAAGAGGGATATATTTTAAATGGCGAGGGCTCTTATGAGCATTTTTTTTCCCTGGATTCCCCAGAAGCAAAAAAGTAGCATTTACACAGTAAGTCTTGTAGATCAAGGTCTTCCGAGCCTTTCAACATCCTAAAGCCCGCACAGACTTTCAACTCTTATCCCCAGCCCGTTGGCGGAAAGAAGAGAAAGAGAGGAAAAATGAATCGAACACAAAGCCTTTGCCTGGAGGTCTGGTGCAGAAGGCTTGGACTCAGAATTGTTTCAATCTATGTAAATATCAGGAAATTAAATTCCATATGTCCTGTGCCAGATGCTCCCAGCTGCTGCAGCTGTGCTCAGAATGGTAAGTAGACAGTTCTGATTTATCAAAGCAGATTTTATTTATTTATTTTCCAGTGTCATTCCTTGAAAGGGAGGGAGAAGAACAGTTTGTCATTGGGAGGGCAGAAGTGTAATGCACAAGAGTGATTTGATGCCAACGATCTGACAAAAGGGATCATTGGTCAAATGTGGAGATCCAGGCAAGGCTGGAATCTGGAAGACCCCAATAAGGGTCTCAGTGTTCTTGGCGCATGTTCTTGGCATCAAAATATTTTGTTTATGCTGAAGAGTATAGGAGTCACATGCATATGGAAAAATGCACTCACTCAGGCTTGGAGTGCAAGTGACTCTTGTTTGCAAACCAACCTTCTGTGCATCGTCAAAAGATGTAGGAGATGAATGTGAATGATTCCATCCCTCTGACTATTGGCAACCCTTTCCAGCCCCTTGGCCTGCAAACAGCTGGACTCTCTGAGCAGTGCTTCTCCATCCTACATCTTTGGGGGCCAGTAGGAAATATATATGGAGTGTTAAGGGTGGTGGTGGAAGAGGCACAGCTTCAAATCTCTGCTCAGTCATAAAGCTTGCTGGGTGTGCTCCTCAAAGCTGAAATCTGTTTAGCCCCCTTAGCTAGTTCACGGGAACTCCTGTGAAGATGGGTGACATAAGAATTGTATGAGATCAGTAAGCCAACTCCTCTTGACTGACCTCCATTTCCATTTGCAGTGTCAGAATATTTGTTAGATATGTATCTTTCCCACTTTATCAATGAAATTACTTCAAAA